TAACTTCTATCTGGGAAACGTACATATTTTACCTATGAAGTACACACAGGCACGCATCTTGGCTTTTGTATGTGTCTGTCTATGCATGCGTGTGTGTGATATTTAAAGGTAGTGAGGGAATCAGGCAGTGGGTAGTGTCACAATGGGGTGAGGGAGTGAGTGTTGTCTGGGGATATGTCGATGTTGCCTCAGGTCATGCGCATATTTGCCTGTGTGCTTTACCATATTTAATCCACTTTAATGGAAGGAGCTAAGGCCGGGGCCCATCGGACGGAACAGCGTCACCCAACAGATGTCACGTTGGTTACCGACACCCGCGTGGCAACGTCATCCGCATCCAGGACCCGATCAATAGCTGAATTTCCTTTTTTATAAATCGAATAAGCTTTCAGATCCAGCCCTCTCACCATATCCACTGTCTAATGCTAATTTTCTCTCATTGTGCAGAGAGAAGCTGGATCCTGTAGAAAGGCTGGCATGCGATCCCATATGATTATGTTGTCCCTGTATAACATATTCTTATTGATGTTGAATACTATTTGATGATCAGCTAATGATAATATTAGAGTCTGAATGATATTCTAGTGTTGATATGTCAGTATCATGCACCATTGTAATATTTATTTTATTAACATTTATTTAAACAGGGAGTCACATTGAGATAAAACTATTTTACAAGAGAGCCCTGTATACGTTTACAAATAAAAACTCAATACATAAATAAAACACAAAGGGCCCTACAAAACACACTATAATAAAACACATAATACAAAACATTAAATATATTTAAGAAAAGCAATCGCATTCTGTAACATAAAAGTCTCCAATCAATAATTTAAAATGCCTGAAAGGCACCGGAATATCTCATTGCAAGGAATTCTGCATATTGTTCCACACATAAGGGGCAAAAAAACTCAAAGCTGATTTTCCCAATTCTGTGGAGACCAAAGGGATCTCCAGAGTTATCCATCCGTGAGAACGGGTTTGGTCATTTGTACATCTAAAATTAATCAATGACATAAATGTACAGAGGAAGTTTCTGCAAGACTGCTTTGTAAATAAATAAATAAAACATGTATTGCTGAATGGAATACTGAGTCCAATGGTTTCAAAACAGAATGTTGCCATAGTCTATTACAGGAAGAAGTGTTGTTTGAACAATCTTCCTTATATTTTCAAAACTGAGGCAGGATTTATTTCTATATAAAAAAACAATCATAGATCTCAGCTTCTTTGTCAAGTTTTCAATGTGTGTTTCAAAAGACAACTTGTCATCAATCCAGATACCCAAGTACTTATAGTGAGAAACCTGCTCAATTTGGGCTCCATTTGGAGTGCAAATACGCAAATCATCAGGGTCAACATCACGAGACCTAGAGAACAGCATAAACTTGGTTTGATTTGCATTTAACACCAATTTAAGATCAGTAAGTGATTTTTGGATTGAGCCAAAATCATGCTGAAGGTCACAAATGGCCTACTGCACTGAAGAGGCACAGGAATAAATAACTGTGTAATCTGCGTAGAGATTAATGTTACAGGTGTTAACAGTATTTCCAATGTCATTTATATACAACGTGAACAACAATGGCCCCAAAATCGAACCCTGGGGTACCCCTTTAAGTACTTCAAGAAATGTGGATTTAACCCCGTCTATCATAATAGCTTGGGTTCTGTCACTAAGATAATTCTGAAACCACAAACAGGCATCAGTGCCAAGGCCTAACACAGACAACTTACTACGCAATAAGATAGAATGATCAACTGTATCAAAAGCTTTTGACAAATCTATAAATAGGGCAGCACAATTCATCTTAGCATCCAAAGCATTGACAATACCATTTACAACTGATGTGGTTGTATTAATAGTACTGTGCCCTGGTCTAAACCCTGATTGATGTACATTCAAAATACAGTTCACAGATAAAAAATTAAGAAGTTGCACATTCACCAAGGATTCAAGAATCTTAGCAAGAAAGCCTTGATATGGGACGACAGTTATCAAGATCACAACAATCACCTCCCTTATGTAGTGGCAGCAAATAAGCAGATTTCCACACTTTAGGAATATTTCCTGATAACAATGTTAAATTAAGCACACTTGAGCAGACCTGGATCCAAATGGTCGGCCCATGTAGATTTCTTAATATCTAATGCCAACAACACATCAAGGACTACATTGTCTGTGAATTGCTGAAAGAAAAAACCCTGTCCGACATGTTCAATATTTTTCAGTAAAATCCCCCCCATCAACATCCAGTACATTGTTACAGTGAGTAGGTTTTTGAATTCTATCAAAGAGAGAGCCTGCAGAAATAAAATGTTGATTAAATTCATTAATTATATCAATTTGATCAGTAATAGGGCCAGACTCTACATTAATTTGTAAGGGAAGAGTGGAGGAAGTACAACCCATTAATGATTTCACAGTTTTACAGAATTTATATGGATTTCCAGTACAGTCAGCTAGAGTGTTAATATAATAATCAGACTTTGATTTCTCAATTTTCAGAAGGATTGCCAGTCCCGGCCTGAGTCAATACTTTTAGCCATGGCCCAGGCAACATCTCTATTGCGTATGAACTCAGATAATTCAGGGGTTAACCAAGGGTTCAATCTATTTTGAACTCTCAATTTTTTAAACAGGGCATGCTTATCTGCAGTGTTGTTAAAAACAGTAATAAAGTGATTTATAGCCAATTCAGAATCCGGTATAGCTAAGATACCATTAAGATCACAATGGTAGAGATCATGTAAAAAAGCTTGTTCAGTAAAAAAAAAAAAATCCTAACACTAATACAAACAATAGGACAGTGATCACTAATATCCAGGGAGAAAACACCACTAGCCACAAATGTCTCTGAAGTATTTGTAAAAATAAGGTCAATTATTGTTGATTTAGTATAATCCCTCAGATTTGGACGTATGGGTTTAGTAATCAACTGAGTGAGGTTTAGGTCATTACAAAAATCCTTTAAACAGGATTTTTGGGTTCCCCAGGACAGGTTAAAGTCACCTACGACAAACATCTCAGCAGTAGAAAATGAAGCTATTAAGTCAGTGAGACTAGTTAACAAACATTTCTTAGCGGAGGGAGGGCGGTAGACTCCCAGAACAGTTACTTTAGAATTAGAACCTAGTTGAAGACTTAAAGCTAGAAATTCAAATTGTTTAGGACTGGACAAAGCCTTTAAAAGACACACAGAAAGGTTACTTTTTGTATAGATCGCCACACCACCTTTGCCCATTCTATCAGCCCTGAAAACTTTAAAACCATCAATAGTAACCTCAGAATCCACGATTTTCTCAGATAACCATGTTTCTGATCAAATAAAAATATCTGGATCCACCTGGGAAGCCCAGATCTCATTTTTGGCAAAAGTCTGCGAACATTTATGTGTATGAATTTCAAACCTTTTCTGGCTTTGAAATCACCTGGAGTGTCAATAAAAGCTGGATCATTACCTGCCAACCTATTATTGATAACCAAAGGCTGCATAGCAATGGAAATTAAATTGTCAAAATTAACCCAAATCCGCATTACATATTGTTTATCTATCACTGTTTGCTGGGGGTGTTGAGACGTAATAATGGTAGGGATTACCTGAGACAGCAGCGGCTTCACTTTACAATACAAATGAGTACAAATGCGAATGGCAGTACCCTTCTTTCTAGCCATAGCAGGGCTAGTAAAAGAGCATTAGAGTCCATTTCTTTGAGCTGCCTTGTAGTGGTTAGATAGTGTCCACGCGCCAAGGTGATTTGGGTGAATTCCGTCATCCCTGAAAAGTTTTTTTCTGTTTCCAAAAGGTATCAAAATTGTCGATAAAAGTAATGCCTGCGGCTCGACAGAAGACTTTCAGCCAGTCATGGAGTGCTAGCAGTCCACTGAATCTGTCACTTCCATGACCCAGCGGAGGAAAAGGGCCAGAGATTAACGGACACTTCTTTAAGTCTTTCAGCTCCATACATTTTCCCTGACACCCAAAAGTACTCGTTACATTTTGAATGCTTAGCAGGACAGGAAAATGGTCTGATTCACACACTTATCAAGAGAACATCCCTGGTCATCCCTACTGCCTCTGATCTGGCGGACTTACTAAACACATGCTTCGTTTGTAAATTATGTCTGAGTGTTGGACCATGCCCCTGGCTATCTGTAAACTAAAAAAAAACTAGAAAAAGGTTGACTTTATATAAGGAATAAAACATTATTTATACTTGTACCTTAACTTTTGATACTTAAGTATATTTTAGCAATTACATTTACTTTTGATACATAAGTATATTTTAAACCAAATACTTTTAGACTTTTCCTCAAGTAGTATTTTACTGGTTGACTTTTCACTTTTACTTGAGTCATTTTCTATTAATAATAAAAATAATATGCCATTTAGCAGACGCTTTTATCCAAAGCGACTTACAGGTATCTTTATCTTTTACTCAAGTATGAAAATTGGGTACTTTTGCCACCACTGCGTGAAGTGTAATGTAAAATGGACTCGGGATAGTGAAGTAATGATGGTGAATATAAAGGCACAGCATAGCAGTGTCCTCTGCTGGCCGCTCCTGTGCTTGCTTAAATTCCCTTTCTGAAGAAGTAATAGACCTGGGGTACTCATTTGAGAAGGTCCAGTCACACAAATTTCCTCGGTGGCAATGGTCCGGATGTATATTGTCATTTATCGGTGTTGTAACAAATCCCCACCTCGCAATCCATGCGACCCCCAACTGTTCAAATTGTTCACACCCCTCTTGTTGGCAGAGAGAAAAATGTAGCCAGTTTTAAAACTAATTTCCTGCAATACTACAAATGTTCCATGTCTTATGTGTGTTCATATGATACCAGTGAGACCCCCAGTCCGTATTGACCACGTTCTGGGTCCTGGTCGTGGTCCGCCTATTGGGTATGACTGTAACAGACCAAACAGCCATGTGTAATGTCCACGATCACCACTAGGGGGAATGCTACGTCCAATAATAGGACTGGAGTGACTAAAATGCACCTTTTGGGTCTGGGCTTCGACTTTGTGTGTGTATCAGTGTGTAACAGGGTGTACTGTATGGAACATAGGTGTGTATGTTCTGATTTCATGGGTTGTACTTGTACTACACTGTGGCTGTACAGGACCAACCTCTAACAATGTGTGTGTAATGGAGAGTGTGTAACAGTGTATATATTTGTGTGTGTGTTTCAGGGAGCGCAGGAAGGTGGTGTTACACCGTGGATCTACAGGCCTGGGTTTTAACATAGTAGGAGGAGAGGATGGAGAGGGAATCTTCATCTCCTTTATCCTGGCTGGTGGACCTGCTGACCTCTGTGGAGAGTTCCGGAAAGGAGACCGCATCATCTCAGTAAGAACACACACACACACACCGAAACGTGATAGTCTCTTATTGATTTCTGGTGATTTATGAGTATTATTGACAAGGTTAGATTGACTGTAGATCTCCATTGACATGCCTTGGGTCTCTGTTAATTTGCTGTTCATTGATCAATCTGTGTGTGCAGGTGAACGGGGTTGACCTCCGCAGTGCGACCCATGAGCAGGCTGCTGCAGCTCTGAAGAACGCTGGACAGACGGTCACCATCGTAGCCCAGTACAGGCCAGAGGGTGAGAAATACTAATACTCCTACTACCGGTACAGAGTCAATGTGCGGGGCACCGGTTAGTCATGGAGCCTGATGTGAGTGTGATCTGTGATGTGAGTGTGCTGTCCCCCATGGTAACCGTAGAGTCACAGCTCTGGTAAACAGGTTACACACAATGATTGGGTTATCTACTCCGATGTCATGGCAACAGGATCCTCTAAGGTGGGGAGAGAGGTGAGAGTGGGCCTCCCTGGCAGGAGTGAAAGCCATTACACACACACACACACACACACACACACACACACACACACACACACACAGCCTCATTACACTGAGTGAGGTAAATTGTGTTCCATTTCAGAATAACTAAATTAAAACTACCTGGAACTACCTGAAAATAAAGGCTTTCATCTCAGTCCAACTACAGGACAACACTCCTCCTAACAAGGGCTTCTATGCTGCCTGCCACTGACATGAAAGTTCTTTCTCCCTTCACTACGATTGGGTTACAGATTGGACACTGCATGGCATGCTGATATTCCATTGGTCTATGGTACCTCAGCTCAGGTTAAGTTTCTCACCTCTGTGGGTGTTTTGTTTGCTCTGCATATCATTACCCTTTACTGTTTGTGGTCTGTCCACACTTGTTTCGGCCCTCCAAAGGTAGAGGGGTTTTAAAGGGGTTTAGTGATTGTCAGATATGGCCCTGACCAGAGGTTCAACCTTGACCAGGCCTCATTAAATCACCATTACCACTATTACCACTCTCTCTCTCTCTCTCTCTCTCTCTCTCTCTCTCTCTCTCTCTCTCTCTCTCTCTCTCTCTCTCTCTCTCTCTCTCTCTCTCTCTCTCTCTCTCTCTCTCTCTCTCTCGCTCTCTCGCTCTCTCGCTTTAGTGTGTTCCCTCAGGCCACTACTCCACTATCACATAATTGCAATACAACATCCATGTGTAGGTGTGTGTAGAGTGAGTGTCTATGTGTCTCTTCACAGTCCCCGCTCTTCCACAAGGTGTATTTTTACCAGTTTTTTTTTTTTATCTCATTCTACTGCTTGCATAAGTTACATGATGTGGAATAGAGTTCCATGAAGTCATAGCTCTATGTAGTACTGTGCGCCTCCCATAGTCCGTTCTGGACTTGGGGACTGTGAAGAGACCTCTGGTGGCATGTCTTGTGGGGTATGCATGGGTGTCCAAGCTGTGTGCCAGTATTCCAAACAGACAGCTCGGTACATTCAGCTCGTCAACACCTCTCACAAAAACAAGCAGTGATGAAGTCAATCTCTTTTCCACTAGTCTAGGTGCGACAAAATTAGGGCCTGTAGGACCTGCCTTGTTGATAGTGTTGTTAAGAATGCAGAGCAGCGCTTAATTATAGACATACTTCTCCCCATCTTAGCTACTGTTGTATCAATATGCTTTGACCATGACAGTCTACAATCCAGGGTTACTCCAAGCAGCTTAGTCACTCAACTTGCTCAATTTCCACATTATTCATTACGAGATGTCGTTGAGGTTTAGGGTTTAGTGAATGATTTGACCCAAATACAATGCTTTTAGTTTTGGAAATATTCAGGACTAACGTATTCCTTGCCACCCATTCCGAAACTAACTGCAACTCTTTGTTAAGTCAGTGGCATGTCGTTAGTAAAGATGGAAAAAAGCAAGGGGCCTAGACAGCTGCCCTGGGGAATTCCTGATTCTACCTGGATTATGTTTGAGAGGCTTCCATTAAAGAACACCCTCTGTGTTCCGTTAGACAAGTAACTCTTTATCCACAGTATAGCAGGGGGTGTAAAGCCATAACACATACGTTTTTCCAGCAGCAGACTATGATCGATAATGTCAAAAGCCGCACTGAAGTCTAACAAAACAGCCCCCACAATCTTTTTATCATCAATTTTTCTCAGCCAATCATCAGTCATTTGTGTAAGTGCTGTACTTGTTCAATGTCCTTTTCTATAAGAATGCTGAAAGTTTGTTGTCAATTGTTTACAGTAAAATAGCATTGTATCTGGTCAAACACAATTTTTTCCAATAGTTTACTAAGGGTTGGTAACAGGCTAATTGGTTGGCTGTTTGAGCCAGTAAAGGGGGCTTTACTATTCTTATGTAGCGGAATGACTTTTGCTTCCCTCCAAGCCTGAGGGCACACACATTCTAGTAGGCTTAAATTGAAAATATGGCAAATAGGAGTGGCAATATCGTCCGCTATTATCCTCATCAATTTTCCATCCAAGTTGTCAGACCCCGGTGGCTTGTCATTGTTAATAGAAAACAAGAATTTGTTCACCTCTTCCACACTCACTTTACGGAATTCAAAAATACAATGCTTGTCTTTCATAATTTGGTCAGATATACTTGGATGTGTAGTGTCAGCAATTGTTGCTGGCATATCATGCCTAAATATGCTAATCTTGCCAATGAAAAAAATTATTAAAGTAGTTGGCAATATCAGTTGGTTTTGTGATGAATGAGCCATCTGATTCAATGAATGATGGAGCTGAGTGTGCCTTTTTTCCCAAAATTTCATTTAAGGTGCTCCAAAGCTTTTTACTATCATTCTTTTTGTCATTTTTCCTTGTTTCATAGTGTTGTTTCTTCTTCTTTTTATTCAGTTTAGTCACATGATTTCTCAATTTGCTATACGTTTGCCAATCGGTTGTGCAACCAGACTTATTTGCCATTCCTTTTGCCTCATCCCTCTCAACCATACAATTTTTCAATTCCTCATTAATCCATGGGGATTTAACAGTTTTTACAGTCATTTTCTTAATGGGTGCATGCTTATTAGTAACTGGAATAAGCAATTTCATAAATGTGTTAAGTGCAGTGTATGTTTGCTCCTTATTACACACCACGGACCAACATATATTATTTACATCAACAACATAGGAATCACTACAAAACTTATTGTATGACCTCTTATTATTAGGCCCAGCCTTTGGAACTTTGGTTTTCCTAGATATGGCTAGTATATTGTGATCACTACATCCAATGGATTTGGATACTGCTTTCAAACAAATCTAATTCCTGTACTGTTTGTAACCACCCTGGTAGGTTGACTGATAATCTGAACCAGGTTGCAGGCACTGGTTACAGTTTGAAGCTTTCTCTTGAGTGGGCAGCCTGATGACAGTCAGTCAATATTTAAATCACCCAGAAGGTATACCTCTCTATTGATATCACATACATTATCAATCATTTCACACATGTTAGCTAAATGATGTAAATGTAATGTTATCCAGATACTGACTGTTAGCACTTGGTGGTCTAAAGCAGCTTCCCACCAGAATTGGCTTTAGGTGAGGCAGATGAAACTATTTAACATGAGATCCTCTCTAATCTTCACAGGAATGTGGTTCTGTATATAAACAGCAACACCTCCACCATTGGCATTTCTATCTTTTCTGTAAATATTATAACCTTGTATTGCAACCACTGTATCATCAAAGGTAGTATCTAAGTGAGTTGCAGAGATAGTCAAAATATGAATGTCATCTGTTACTAGCAAATTATTGATTTCATAAACCTTGTTTCTAAAGCTACATATGTTAACATGGGCTATTTTGAGCACTTTTCTTCTGGGATGCTTACTTGTTTTTATTGCTTTACTGGGAAGCTTAGCAGCAGTAGATGTGCTCATGTTCTTTATGTTAGTGCACGGTGAGCTGCACACAGTGGACTGCCTCCTCGGGTACACCGGCTAATGGGGTTCCTTAATAAATAGAAATAACAGACGCAACATCTTCACAACAACTTTGTCAATATGACTTGCCCATGATAACTTACCATCCAATGTTATACCTAGGAGTTTAGCTTCCTCAACTTGCTCAATGGTCACACCCTTTATGCACAACTCCAGTTGAGGTTTAGGTCTTAGAGAATATCTTGAACCAAATATCAAAGGCTGCACTGAAATCTAACAATACAGCTCCAACTATCATCTTATTATCAATTTATTTTAACCAATCATCAGTCACCTGAGTCAGTGCAGTACAAGTTGAGTGCCCTTCTCTATAGGTCGTTATCAATAAAACGTCACAATACGGTGCAGAGTGTTTGATTTGACTACTGGGGTGTAAGGAGTCCCCCAGCTCTGCTAAACCATTAAAAACGACGTGCCGTTTTCAAGGGATTGTTAAATAAATGTTATAACTATTTGGTTGTAATGTCATCATCTCTTGAAGAGCATAGTCAGAACAACACATTTCAGATTTTTCCACATTTAGCTCTATCATCAGAGTTATACAGCATGTAACTGCATGCTTTTCATGATCAGTAAACATCAATTGATCATGTAATTTCAGATATGTGAGGGTAGCCTATCCTTTTGGCATATAGTTAGCTAGCTAGCTAAGCAAACAACGTGTCATTTAGCTTGCTTCATCAGAGATTAGGCTTTTGGAAAGAACTTGACATCGGCAAGTCTTCATCCTGGTAAAGTTGTCAGTCGGACTACTGCCATCACCACTATAGATGGCAAGCAAATCAAACAATATTTGGATGTAGCCATCTAGTTTCTCCCCTGAACGCTTGTTAACTAGCCACATTGACGTGATCTGTTATTATTAGCTAGCTAGACAATTTGACGTGGTCCATCAATCAATGTAACCTGTCCTGTCTATCAGCAGCAATCGTGATTAAACAGTTTTTAAAACAATGTCGAAAAGGGGATGTTAGCTAACTTCACTAGGCAAGCCTACATTGGTTGGAGAAAAAAGTACATTAGGTCTACTTACCACTATATGTTTAGCCAACTTTACATCGTTTCTACAGGTAGGTTGCAATGTAAACATTACCAGCTAACAGTACATTGGTAAATGCACCCTTCTGCCGCTTGACAGGCAGAGCCCACAAAGGATGTGAAATTAACTTAACCACTCATACTTGTCAGGTATATTTCACTTTTATATCACTCAAATATCCAAATAATGAATGGTTCGCCAATATTGAGAGATATTGTGAGGCTATCCACACATATCTGAAATGACATGATCAATTGATGTTTACTGATCATGAAAAGCATGTATACAGTGCATTCAGAAAATATTCAGAGCCCTTGACTTTTTCCACATTTTGTTACGTTACAGCCTTATTCTAAAATGGATTCAATTGTTTTTTCCCCTCATCAATCTACAAACAATACCCCATAATGACCAAGCAAAACATTTTTTATTTTTTACATTTGCAAATGTATTAAAAATTAAAAACTGAAAAATTACATTTACAT